TGATAAATCAGAGTTACCAACAATAATATAAAACTGATCAGTTTACAACTAACCACAAACCCCCCTCCATGTTCCTGTAATTACACAATACAGGGACTAACTCTCTGCCCCTGCTAAATTTCAATGATATGAAAAGAATTCAATTGCAGCACTTTTCTTTGTCCTTTCATGAATGGGACCCTTTTTTGTTTTTTTACTTTTTTTCACTTAGGATTTTGATTTGAGTTATTTTACACAACTTACCTGCACTTCCTTTGTTTAAATTGTGCACCTTCACTTTTTAGAATACATTGTCTGTTTTTAATCTAATGTGTGTAATTATGACAAGATCAAAAACTAAATTAAAAAAAGAAACATTTGACCAGAAAACACATTTACTATCTTAAAGTGAGATGAGAAGATCGATACCACTCTTGCGTAAGAATGGAAATAAAACTTTTGATTTATCTTCATCTTTGCTTCTTGACTTATTGAAGATGGAACAAAGAGATTGTTGAGAAACATCCAAACTATGTTGTTGAGTAAGTTACTGTAACTGTCCTTCCAATAAGATGAGTATCTGTTTTCTTTTTCTTTGGAGCAGCACAGAGTCTGCAGTGTCGACAGTGCCGCCTCGGTATATTTGGGTCTTGTTTGTTTGGGAGCGACGTCACATGTAATAATGCCACTGAGAGCTGCCACCGTGGAGAAGCACGTAAGAAAAACACTCAACACTCAACCTTCTGTACGACGGCCAGAAATCGATTTACACATATAGAATGAGTAAGAGATCAAAAGAACTAAAGAAAATCAACACAACACTTTGAATACGTTACTATCAAAAATCACTGGTGCTCATTTGGGATTACACTGTGCAACTTCACACTGCATGTACATTTACCTGAAATGAGCGTGATCTAGAAACACAGTTAAGCAGTGAGTACAGTATGTTATTCTTCTTTTCTCTAGTCCCTCAATTAAACAACTTTTATACACGAGGGGAGGAGTCAGCCGGCCGTCCCAGCGATGTAAACAAACTGAAGATAGATACTGAAAACTCTGAAAACATCACAGACAGTGGGACTCGGGTGTTACTCCCATTGTAGACAGTCATGACTCACAGAGTTATTTACTTGATTTCTACATTTAAGTGTGAAAAATCACATATAAAGCCTTAAAGTGTGTAATATGTGTTTGCGGTCATGATTAGTACGGGGTTGTTTATTACACATTACACACATTACACGTTGTAATATTTGTTTTTTGAACTGATCTTTGTCTGGTTGGTTTAATGTTTGTATGTTTGCTTTTGATCTTCTGTTGAAATGATGTTTGTGTGAAATGTGCCATGCATGCATAGCAAGTTTCTTACATGCTTTTTTCACCCATGTCCTCCCAGAGTTCAATGCTACAGGGTCACTCACTCTGCAAATCCGCGGCTGTCTGGACTCGGACCTGTGCGGCAAGACGCTGACCGGCAGCATCCTGGGAGCTGGTTACACCACCAGTTTCCAGTGTTGCACAACAGATCTGTGTAACGCAGCCGGTTCTCTCCAGCTCCCTCTGACCGTGGCCCTCTGTGCTGCTATGCTGTCCTCTCTGTGGGGCATATGGGATCTGTAGTTTTACAAGCTTGTCTCGGTTGCTAGAAGTCATATAGACTTTAAAAAAAAAAAAATTGGACTTCAGTAAACAGTGAAACTGTAATTTAAGTTTTTGATTGTTAAGTGAAAACAATAATTGTGCACTTTTTCTTTCAGCTTTTAAATCATCTCTTTTCATTTTCTAAATTCTTCATCAACATTGAGAGACTGTTGTTTGTTTCAACTTTCTTGACTCCATTAAAAGGTGAACACTTTAAGACCATGAAGTAAAAAAAATAAATCTGGAGAGAATTCAAAATGTCTCCACTCTGATTTGTTCCTTTTCAGTTTTTCTATTTTTTTTTAATTCCCTAATATGTTACTTGTTAAATGGAAAGAGCTAGTTAGTCTTTTATAAGGAAGAATAAACCCTTAGATAATTAGCTTTATTAAGTTTGACAAAACGCAAAAAATATTGATCAAATCCCACAAAACAAAGTGTCCTGGTGTTAAACTGAGTGATGGAGGGTCAAGTGGTGTGAAAACAAACATCCACCCTGTCTTTAAGGAAACATTGACTCCATTCAGCCTCCTGAGTGACAAAATAAAAAGAGGTTTATTAGCATTTAATAAGCAGGGCTTGGTTTGTCAGGAGGATCTCTGCTGTGACATGTTGTCAACACTTACCAAACAGAGTCATCAGTGCTCCATTGTTGTCTCCACAAACAACCTGATGATCAGATTGAACCTGTGTCACCACCCCACCTGTGAGACATGAGAGAGACTGAGGACGCCCTCTAGTGTTTCACACGCGTAATAACAGGCTGAATACAAAAATGAAAAAAAGGATCGGCTCTCTGCCAAATAGAGCACACTGATTTATATCAGTGGTTCTCAACTGGTGTAGCATCAGGACCCACCACCAACACCTTCAACAGAAACTGGAACCCAAATCTTAATTTTCTTTTTACTAATTAAATTTATTAAATGAAAAATTGTGCAGTATGGACCTCAGATGGTAGAAAACATGAGACAGGTTTATAAAGAACTTTGTAGATTTGTTGACACAATTATTTTTCCATGGGCACACATTTGCGACTGACTAAATATGGCACTGTGACCCACTTTTGGGTCCCGACCCACCAGATGAGAATCACTAAATTAAATGTTCTTAATTAAATAAAAATGTAATATTGCCCTCTGTGTATATAGCCTGGTTTTTAAATGTAGTGTAAAAATATGTCCCTCTATATTTAGCATATTTTTGCCATAATGCTCATAATATCAACAAAAACAAAAAAGATGAGAGGGTGAGACGAGCGTATTGTATGTTACCCCCTTCTCATATATCTTTTTAATTTATAATCTAAGAACTCAACCAGGTCAAATATACGTGTGAAAGATTGTTTTTTGTAATGAAAACAGATGAAAAATAATTTTAAAAAAGACATTTTGGCTTGTTTTAGGCAGCTTGGTCTTCTGCTCTTTGTCTTGTCTGTATTGGTGTGAAAATAAAACCTCCAAAGAATTGAAAAAATGTATTGGGTCTATTTGTATTGTTTTTGTGTTGTAAGTTTAATATATTATTCCAAATAAAGACCCATATGTAAGATGTTTTTAATTGCCATTGTCCCAACATAAAATCGTTCATTGGAATTACATGTGTAACATCTCTCTCTTGTGTTAAACTGACAAATAAATGATCAAACTTTCCCGTGTGAATTCATAAACGATCTCTATTCCAAATGTGTCTCTGTCCACTGTCAGTGTTTAATTCTGACTGACAATCTGCCAGGACTTTCTGATTACTCTTTCCAGATTTTAGGACCAGACTTTATAAAGTAATGAATTTGCAAAGTACAGCTCAATACCCCCCTCTACTGGCAATTTAGTATACAGCAGAACATTCTGTGCTGTTCTGTAAGGAATCATGAAAAAATATTATCTATTTTGATGACTTTCCAGGAGTGCAACAAAGATGAGGTGAAGCATCACCCAATTCCTCTCATAAGAGTATAAGGAAATGTCTGGAGGTTGAAATACAAGATAGGCATAACTGTTATTTCTGAATTAAACCAACAAAATGTAAAAAAATATATATATGTATAATATCTGATCATTTAAAGGACAGACAATTTAATTCTCACTATAAAAATACTTCCACAATAAAAAATATCCACATCTTTGTCAAAATAATAAGATTAAATTAAAGGAATAGGCTACGAGATAACTTTACATTTTCCGATTACGTTTTTATCTCGTAATTTAACTTTTTAAATCTTATAACCAACATTAGTCCTTTGACATTAGACCTAAACAATGTATTATTTTTTTGTTGTTGCAATAATTTCAAAATAACATCAGTTTTTTTTCCATGTTATATCTCTATATTAAACTTTCTATAAAATGTTAATGACTTTTTACCTAAATGATAAAAAGATGTGACATCATTATTTAACATTATTTCATCATTCTTATTTTATTTCTTAAAGTAGTGACCTCGTATCTCACTATGTGGTCGTCATATGTGTTGCTTTTATTGCAAAATGTTAACATTCTCTATCATAATCGTGAATTGTTTTCTCACTATTTTGACAACCTGTCTCATAAAAATTACTTTTTTTTACAATAATTTAAACTTTTCATGTCATGGTTCATAACAACTTTATACCTCACATTGTCGACCTTCTAGCACATACTGGTGAGTTTATATATTATTGAACCATATAGCCTAATTATGACTCCTCAGAGTTTATGCCTATTTATGTTAAGTCGTTATGTTCATCTTTTACTGGAGGATTTGGGCTTCCATACAATAATAACTTCTGCATGGACTTGGCAAAAGTACGATGGAGGATTAGGGCCAAGTTTTTTTTAAATTTTGAGATTAAAGTCGTAAATTTACGAGAATAAAGTCGTACATTTACGAGATTAAAGTCGTAAATTTACGAGAATAAAGTCGTACATTTACGAGATTAAAGTCGTACATTTACAAGAATAAAGTCGTAAATTTAAGAGAATAAAGTCGTACATTTAAGAGAATAAAGTCGTACATTTACGAGAATAAAGTCGTACATTTACGAGAATAAAGTCGTACATTTACGAGATTAAAGTCGTAAATTTAAAGGGTTAAAGTCGTACATTTAGGAGAATAAAGTTGTAAATTTACGAGATTAAAGTCGTACATTTACGAGAATAAAGTCGTACATTTACGAGAATAAAGTCGTACATTTAAGAGAATAAAGTCGTAAATTTACGAGAATAAAGTCGTACATTTACGAGAATAAAGTTGTAAATTTACGAGATTAAAGTCGTACATTTACGAGAATAAAGTCGTACATTTACGAGAATAAAGTCGTACATTTAAGAGAATAAAGTCGTACATTTACGAGATTAAAGTCGTACATTTACGAGATTAAAGTCGTACATTTACGAGAATAAAGTCGTACATTTAAGAGAATAAAGTCGTAAATTTACGAGATTAAAGTCGTACATTTAAGAGAATAAAGTCGTACATTTAAGAGAATAAAGTCGTAAATTTAAGAGAATAAAGTCGTACATTTAAGAGAATAAAGTCGTAAATTTACGAGATTAAAGTCGTACATTTACGAGAATAAAGTCGTACATTTAAGAGAATAAAGTCGTAAATTTAAGAGAATAAAGTCGTAAATTTAAGAGAATAAAGTCGTAAATTTACGAGATTAAAGTCATACATTTAAGAGAATAAAGTCGTAAATTTACGATTTTATTTATTTATTTTTTTAACGTGGCCCTAATCCTCCATCGTACAAAAGAGGTTTGTCTTTTAGAAAACCATTATACTTTTAACTCACATCCACACCCTCCCTCCTCCACCCCCCTCACCCTTCATGTCACCCCGGCCTGCATCGACTTCAAAGCCGTACGTCTGAGAGCTCAGCTCGTCACGCAGCACCAGGAAATGGAGGAGCCGTGCGGGTGATGCAGCAGCGGACCTGGGAGGAGAAAACGAGCAACAGGCAGCTTCACAGCGTCAGCTACAACTCTCTCTACTGCGAGGTAAAAGCTCTGCTGACTTTAAAAACTGCCAGTTAAATGAATTATTTGAGCTTTTAAGCCGATAGTGTTTGCTCTGTTTGAGGTTTTCATCGCTTGGGTCGCTGCTACAATCTTTAATTTGTCTTTTTGTGTAGCGGAAGATGGGCTTGGCTCCCCGAGTTTCGAAGTCGTTTTCTCGCTTTAGAAATGCAGATTTTTAACTTTTTCTTCAGCTTCACCCTGATTACACCTTTTGTCTGTTCACTTTGATTAGATCTCATCATCAACAGGTGAAGATGAGCGACCCGAATCAGCCCAAAGTTGAACTTTTTGTGAAGGTAAGCCAAGTAATCCATCACACCCATAAAGTGACGCTGTCATGGCGACGCGATGGGACATTACTTTATTACGTGTGTTTAACCTGTGTTACATTTGTATCACTTTTAGCAATGTTGTGTCGTAATAACATATCTTGGACTGCTCGTATTTTGGGACTTAAAGTTTGTTTAAAATGACTTTTTAGCATTTGTGTTAATAGTATTATTGTCAGTCTGTGTCACTAACCTGCCTCATAAATGACAGTAAGACTAATCTAATTAAATGCACGGACAGGCGTCTTTAATCTATATTTAGTATGTTGGCCAGGCAGACTAATCCCATTTACTTTGAGCCAAACATGCTCTAATATAACCATTATGTCTTTCTGTGCCTCCTTCATGCTCTTAAAGTCTCCATAATGATTCCTCTGTATGAACATGTGCGCCACCCTCCACTCTTTTTTTTTTTCTTTTTCACGACTGAAAGATGCAATTGTGACTTTTCTGAATCCTGGTTCCTAGTGAGCCTCTTCAGTGACACTTGAAACTAGTCATTAGCAGGACACATAAGTATAGTTTCACATTAGTAACGGAAAGTAAGAAGCGGTCAAGTTTATACTGTGGCCTGCTCATGCCACACACAGATGAAGCCTATAGGCTGACTGAACATGAAGTATGGCTTCCTGCACACACAGGGAACATTTTAAAGCTGTATGATCATTTCCTGAGTTAGCCTGCACTTGAATGCAAGTATGAAAAATGGCTTCCATGGCTGCAGCTAAGTATTGTTGGTAACTATAAGAGTTAGCTGCAGGAAATGTTCTGCATTAATTGATTAAGACCTGTTTAAGGCACATGTGTGTTAAGTCTTTAAATCCCTTGTTTGTCCAAACCAACAGCCCAGAAATAGAGATACTCCTTTAACAAAGAAATACAGAAGCTGCAACTAAGCTAGTTTTTTTTTTAGCTCTCTTTCAAATCTTCTAACTGTTGGCTTATGAAATGTAAGAAAATGTAAAAAAAAAAAGAAAAAAAAAAGTGATGTCTCATTCTTTCCAAAAGTTTTGACGAGTTTGCCCGCTCCATTAGTTGAAGTTTTTGTTTTGGACTGTTAAAAAGACAAACCACGACTTTTATAGATGTTGAGTGTTTCATTAGAAGCTGCGATTTTTAAC